TAGGTGTGGAAACAGGAGCGGTACTTGTTTGTATTCGGTGTGAAAAAACAACTCGAAAAGGGTCAAAAACTTCACACGCGCCAGAAATACGTAGTCGCACGCGAGTCAAAAAGGTGTCATCTGCAAAGCAATCAGTGCTGCAGATGGGACCTTTTAACCCACGAGAGAACGAGAGAAGGCCGCAAAGAAAGAGACCTTTGACATAATGAAATCCCAATGATTTATCTACGGCGTGTCCGCCGGCCCAAGTAATTGAACACGCCACGGGGCCTCGTCTTCATCTTTTCCACTGTCGATATAAACAATGTATTTAATCTATTTAATGAGCGGCAAAAACACGATATCGCTTGCAAAACTACCGACTCTGACAAGATTTATTCCGCGGCTGGTATCACCGCGAAGACCAACGGTACACGCTATCGAATTAGAAGTGGCTATGCCACGCCTGTTGAATAGAAGAATACCGTCGTTATCAATTTTTAATTTCTTTACTTGTTTTTGGCTTTTCTTTAACCGTCGGGCTGATTTGTAGTTGAATACCTGGCGTCAGAAGAAAAGCGTTCTTATTTGATTATATTTGCGTTTAATTTATCGCCAAGGTTACGAGACAAAGTCGCATGAAAGTGATCTTTACAGCGCAGAGCAGAGAGAGAAGGGGGGGAGGGGAGAGAGAGAGCGAGAGAGAGAGAGAGAGAGAGAGAGAGAGAGAGAGAGAGAGAGAGAGGCGGACGGTCGGAGACCCTTGGGGGAGGGGGGGTGAGACAGAATAACAGAAAGACAGACAGACAGACACACATATAATAGACAGAGACACGCGGAGACAAAACGCGCAAAGACAAATGTAGGATCAAAGAAATTGAGAACAAAATTAGTTATGGAAAAATTAAAATTTCAAAACTCAACACACACATTGCGTAATATAAAACAATAAAAGATATTGGGGTCACCTTCCGAGTTTTGACGTCAGGAGTTTTGTTTTAGTAAAAAGTTTTACGGCACTTCCAAAAAAATAAGGTTATATAAATGCCGAAGATAACAAGCGTTACAAGAGAGTAACAAACCCCCAAAAGAAGGAGGGGAGATAAAGACGATATATATGTTTGAGAGGAAAGAAGAAGCAAGCCACACCAGAGCACCCGTCAACCACCCACATATATAAAATTTAGAAACTCAACAAACACATTACGTAATATAAAACAGCAAAGGACAATGAGGGTCACCTTCTGAATTTTGACCTCAAGAGGAATAGGAAAAGAACAGGACAAATAAAGAGTCGATTGATCTGTTTTCGCTGTATATTAATCTTGTATTTCCGAAGGGCCCATGTCTAGAAATTGCCTGGCATTCGCTTACAGGACGCGTTGAGCTAAAACATTCACCAGGAAGACCACAAAAAAATGTCGCAGTGAACAAAAGTGGGTATTATAATACAATTTTCGTTGTTGTTGTTGTTGTTGTTGTTTTTTAAATTTATTTAATCTGCGTCCTCATGCTCAATGTTATTTCAAAAGATGTGCACAAAGTAAGCTTGAACCACAAAAAACGCCCCCCC